CCTAATACGTTCGTCAAGACGACGAGCGTTTCTCATAGGGACATGGGTGACACGCTACGCCTCGAAAGTGTTGAAACGCGGCGCGGCAACCATCTACGTGTGAACCCCCACCAATCCTTTGATCTTGGTTCGTGAGAGTGCCATCCCGTAGAGCGACGATAATCTTGGGGAATAGAGGCACAGCTTCTTACATTATCATCACGCGCAGCGCGCAACACACCGAGTGACACCGAGGTTAGTCTGAGCTCGACGGCTGTTACCAGTCAATGAGCTTGCTCGTTTACACGCGACTGTGGCTCTTTACATTATTAGCTGCATCTCGGATAGCAAAAGCCATTTCCAACGCGCAAGGATTCTGTACTTCGGTTCACTTGGTTCAGCGTATATTAACCACCACATATAACCATTATAACCCGGCCCCTTTTAAGATCATGGTTTGAGCTTGGGGTAATCTCGGGTCGAAGCAACCCTCGTCCTCGTGAAAAGGCCCCCAACTAAAATGATTTATCACACTACATTAACCAAAGAAAAATAATAATAAGAAAAAAAAACGCTCCGAACTTGTCAGTCGACAATCCACCTTTCCAACGTCAGTGCTGAATTAAACTACCTTAGTAGGAGGACCAAGCTACTGCTAGAGATCAGATATCGCGCTACTGTACCAAGGTTCTGACCGAGAGCTTAATAACAAAATCCCCTTAGCCACAAGCGCAGGCGGCTTGACCGCTTTGTTTCCTAAGAGAGAATCGCACGCTTCTCGAACCAAACTCTGGTTCGTTGCCCAGTCCTAAACTGTACAGAATTGGATAAGGTCCTGAGACCTTGTCCGGTTTAGTCATCGATACTGACATCAAAGGGGTCCACATCCGTTCAACGGTTGTGGAGACTACTCGTGTTGAGGAGAATGCATGTCCAAGTTGATGTGACTTGACCAAGGTTAGTACATAGCGTGTAAGTGAAAAGAGGCCCTTGAAACCTTCGAAGGGGGCTCGTGGTTTAGGTGGTTCAGGTGGTTCAGGTGGTGCGGAATCAGGAGAATCTTGACTGCCGTCGAAGGAAAAAGAAAGCAAAAAAACAAAAACACGACCTAAAAAAAACGACGAGATGCAGCCATGGCTGTAGCTAGAGAACTCGAAGCAACCAAACCATGTGGTTTAGTCGTCGTTGTACATACATATCCTACCCATATCTCATACCTACATAGCGTATCAACGTGTCCAAGCTTCCCCCCTACGTTGCGGCGAAAATACTACAATGCTACGATGCTACTGTATCTACGGCGCTTGTGGGAAAGAAGAAAGGGAAAATTGTCCGGTAACATTTCCCCTGACTGATTGTTACTAACCTGGTCCCTGTCAGCTCTCGGCGCCTCTCCCAGGTCCAGCCCTAGTCCTCCCATGTCTAATAAGGCTAGCTCGACTTATTTTACCAGTACGGATATTGTTTTAATGTACCCTAAAAAGGTCGAGTGCGAAAGAAATCGACTGAGTTTATTATCTGGCGCGATCTGCCGGCTTCATTTTCGCTAGCCTGCGTCGTTTTTGGGGCTCCTGTTAAGGCTCTACCATGTTGATACAGACATGATACAATATCAGGACGTTGAGAATCGAATTTCCATTTATCATCAGATTAGGAAAACGAGAAAACTGTGGGCGACGACAAGGAAAGCTGTGGAGAGCCTCGCGCGCGGATTCTAACCTCAATTTCGTCTTCATCTTCTTTTACTGGCTTAATCTACAGAAATAATATGCTCCGTGCTCTGTAATACGGGACCAACATTATCTAGATACATGCGATACATGCCTACCTACATACCTACATACGATAGGTGACAGGATGTACATAATATATAACAAATATCCTGCCGATTCGGTACCCGTCATCGTCGCAGCAGGTAATAAGAAGCTTAAAGGAGGGCGAGGGGGCGGCTGCTAGGTCGTCACATTGGGGGGGTGCGGGCTCGATATCACCTGCATCGCTTCGCGTGAAAAGCAGCAGCAGCAGTAGCAGTAGCAGCAGAGGCGGACGGTTCTATTTTCAGACGATACAGAAAGCGGCGCGCGCACCACACCCCGTGTCACGAACGAATGAAGGCACCCCGAAGAATCGCGCGACCGTTGGTTACATGACTTGAGTAAGCACGACAGAATACATACAGTACCTTAGATAGGATACACTACATATTACAGTAGTAAAATAATTAAATAAGAAAAGCGTTAGGACAGGACAGGACAGGACAGGATAGGATATGACAGACGCAGACAAATTTGGTGATGAATATCCTGCAGGAGCCTTTATTAGTACCGGCATAAGTGGCCGTTTCTTTTACAGGATATCGCTTCCTCTGATCAACCGAGGCTCGTCCAATCAACACATTCCCTTCTCTCCTCCAGAGGAATTGCTCCATAGCGAACAAAAAAAGGATGCGGCTGTTGCGCCGAGTACCGTCGAGGGCTTGCAATCTGTACGGGGGGGCAACTTTCGTCGATTGTATGGGTATTGTATGGGTATTGTATGTAGTGGATGTATGTACAATACGATACTCCCTGTTCCCAGTCTGCCTGTCCCCTGTACTCCAGTCCTATCGAAAATGCTGTGGTACCCTCCAGACCCTCCAAAAGCTTACATGGCCTCCGAAGTGGCGTGCCGGGTTCGTCCAGCAGTGGATCTCTTGCTAGGCACGCTGATCCAAATCGGGAATGTGCTGGATACTGCGTGATCTGTACTGGTATGGTGTCGTTGCTATCCTCCGCATTTTCTTCAGGAGCACTGGAGCAGCATGGCCTAAGGTATTTACCTGTTCGTCCTTTTTTTTTTTTGGCTTCTGGCTTGGAAAGGGACAAGACCTGATCGTAGATTCTTGATTCTTTGCTGCGACGTGCAGAGCAAGTAATTCGTTCCTTTTTTCTTGTCCACTCACCACTGCCGCGAATGACCTCTCTTTCTTCAATCTTCCCCATGATCAGTGATCATTCGACTGATGAGACCCGAGTTATAAACGGCAAGAGATGCTATTGCATTTCTGATCTTCTGTTATCTGCAACTCGGCCCACACACATCTTCTCTTTCTTCCATGACAATTCGACAATTCGACATGGCTTCATCTCGGGTCTTTCTGGTTGAGATAATCAAGCATGCAAGCGAAATTCCTTGATATTGGCATCGTCTCCTCTCTGCTATTGCTTTCTCCATCTCCAGTTCTGGTTCGAGGGCCGAGGAGCTATCATATAGGTCCCCTCCTATATTGACGCGTCCGCTATTAACAAGGCGACGAACGTTTTGATTTCCCTTTCTCTCATTAGCAGCCTCCTTTTTTGCGAACAATAACATTGGCATAGGCATGATGGGCGACCCTAACGCTACGAGATAGGTACGGGATACATTAAAAATCGTGCAAGGGTCTAATAAACTTATGTGCGCTTTTTGCGAAGCGAGCTTACTGGATCCCCGCCGCGCCCCCTGGTCGACTAGCCAGAGACGCAATCTCGTGAACCGATATTTTTTTTTACTGTACCGTAATGTTCTGCACCACCACCTACACCACCCCCATGCTCTCCTCCTCACCCATGCCTGCTCGCGCCTTTCCCTTCTGGCTCTTCGTCGGCGGATAGTCCAACGGTCGCTCTTCAAAACAGCGGGTCCTCCTCTACGTACCTAGCAAAAGCCGTCGGAGGATTTCCTAACTAATCAAGCACCTCCCTGTTGGGGGCCAGGGCCAGCATTGGATAGACGGAGCTGCGTGGAGGGGCTTTTATTTTACAAGGGGCATCTTGAATGGCTTTAGCTAGCCTCTTGTCGATAGGCTCCCGTGCCTCCATATGATCCATGCTTTCATACATCTCTACCTGCCTACTCCGTACCCCCTCCATCCACACACACTTAACACGCCTCCATACAAGGCTTTGCCGTCATTTTCATCCACAATGGTCAGGTCCGTTTGCCGGTAGGTCTTTGGAGGAGGGTACGGGATAGTAGGTACCTCTAGCCCTTGTTCAGAAATCGGCAGACAGATGAAGCTTTTTATGGGGCAGTCTTAACGTTGAATAATGTAATGTATTCCTTAGTAGTTAGTACAGTACGATACGATAGCAGGTAGCTTTTTGCGCTGACATATAATGTATTTCGTCTTCTTCAGCCCTCTCCTAGTAAAGTTCTGACCGTGTTTCTGCAGCCGTGAGGGTCAGCAAGCTTGCCTCATGGCTTTCAGGGAGCGGAAGTGAAGCTTCAATTCGTCTTTGTCCCTTCTTCCGGTTTTTTTTTTATATTTTTGTTGGCGCTTGTTAGGTCTGGAGAATCAAGCTTGGTGTCGATATTGTCTAGGGCCTATCAACAAGTCCCGGGCAGAACCAAAAGCCCTGTATCTTCCCCCAGCCAGATCGCCATTAGCTCCGTTCTCCTTCCCAGTCGGGCTGCATGCACTGTACTCTAAAACCCATGTCAGTTGTAGGTACTAAAGATTTCTGTACCAGACCCCCAAGTCGCTTCCTGCTCTCTCATTGACTCTCTTTGGACCTGGACCTGGACCACCTCCGCTTGGCTAGGACCCGTCAACCGTTAAACGTGCCCCCCAGGGTAGTGGATAATGCCGTTCTGCTGCACAAAACAGTCCCCTCAGAGGCAACATCTATCCTACCGTATCCCGTCCCATCCCATACAAGTACACTTCGGCCTGCAACCTTACCTCCTTTCGATGTTCACTTTATTCTGACTTCACCTACCTTTAGAAGGAAAGTCTTTTAACACTCCCATCAAGGTGTTTGCCCTTTCGACAGGAACTTGGACCTGGCGAGACTAGTCTATGAACATCAGTTTAGAGGTTACTGCCGCGACTCTGATGTTCTGAGTAAAACGACTTCCTATCTGGAGAGGAGGAATTAAAAGAAAGAAACGAGAAAGAAAAACGAGGTTTGGTTGATCGCCGGTAACGCGCGAGGAAAGGTCTTGGGAGCACGGCTGGGACACAGGTTCCCATGTCAGCCACAACGACTTTGACGGCGACCATGGCAGAGTTGAAGCCGGAGCCAGCGCATAGTAGTCTTTGGTCGAACTATGGCGGTCCGGTGTCTTTATCAACTCGATTCCCCAACACCATGGAGTCGAATCTCTCGCACCCTTCGACAGCATCGTCACAACATCCAGGAAGGCCCAGAAGCAGCCACCCCACCCTCGACCACCCTTACCCGTACCCTCGATATCCGCAGGAGGAATCGGATGGATTTGACAGATACCCGCAGCCTTCTTTAACGCAACATCACAGCTTCTCTAGCCTTAAGAGACCGCACCAGCCTGGAGAGCACCCGCCGTATCAAGAGATTGTCCAGGACCTGAGGGACGACGGATCCAAACTTACCGTTAATCATGACCACAAGTTGCTGTCTTTTAGGAGAGTTCAAGACAAGCACACCATTGTTGACCAGCATGGACGAATGCAGCAACTCGAACTCTCTGCGCAGCTTCACGGCATGTTCTTCCTATCGGAAATGCCATCTAGTACGAGCGACGGCGCAATTCTACAGCCAGAGTTGACATGTTACCGAAGAAATTTATTCCAAATTAGTGGTTCGCTCATCACGCCGCGAGGCCAGTTATCAGTAATTCTCCCAGAGACAGGCGAAACCGTCCCCGTAAACAACACCGAGGTTACCATCTCGGCTATCGAGTCGGTCGACGGCCATCCCGTGAGGCTTATTGTAATCCCCTGGAAGACGCCACCACCGAATTCCCCGGAATTACCCCAGACCCCAGATCAGGAGCCACCTTCGCTACCATTGATCCCTTTCCCCGACGATGGACAAGAGGCGGAGGGCGAGTACGCCGTGTACCCCATCGGGTGGCGGCGGTTGCAATTTAGAATGTACGCTTTTTTTGGTTAACATTTGGTCTTTCCTTGTCGTAAGGCTTTAGCCTTGGTACTAGAAAGTCGCATACTAACGCGAACTTTACAGAGCAACTGCGAATAATGGAAGACGTAAAGAACTTCAGCAGCATTTTGTACTTCACTTGAAAGTGGTGGGGACTCTAGCAAATGGATCGAAGGTCGTTCTCACAGAATCCACGACGGCGCCTATTGTGGTACGAGGACGAAGTCCACGAAATTTCCAAGCACGGAAAGAAATCCCTCTCTTGGGATCCAGCGCCGGCTCGCGCGGACAGGCTCTGGTTGAGACGGGACTCGGCATCGTCGCTGGCCCTCTGTCAGTGAAGCCCCAGGACCCAAAGCTTAGGGGGTTGAATCTCGAACTACCGAGGACAGCGTTTACTTTCAACGCGTCGAAACTTCCAGGTAGCCCGATGACCATGAGATCCAAGTAGGTTGTTTCTTTACCTAATCCAAGGAGTGTGACAATGTCCTAGAGACCTTGCCCAACAATTTTTAGCCGAGTAGAATTGTATGGGAGTGGTCGTAATTATTGACCTTCGAATCTTCGTCGGAGTTCGACGCTAACAGCAGATTTCAGTTCATACCCCAGTTGGAATCCTCCCAGCCAGTTGCCCCTGTCCGGAATGCCAACCTCAGCTACAGCTAGTTATCCGCCAGCGAGTATACCAGCCGATTCTTACCAGAAAATGCCACTCTCGGGGACGTCGAGCTTCACGCAAGAGCCACAGGAGATGCCCATGCAGACATCCATGCCATCAATGCAACTATCCTTAGCCGCGACGGAACAGCAACCGCCAGCAATCCGAACGCAATACGCGTACGTACAAGGGACATCGGCTCCGCCGCAGCTTTCGGTAACGACGACCTCAATGAGCAGTAGCTCAGATCACGGCAACTTAAGTGTGCCACGATATGTAGACTCGAATCCACGGCCGACTAAGAGCCCACGACATGGGAGTCATCAGTCCGTTCCGAGCACTAGCTCTATGAGCAATAGCAACGACACTTCCGAATATAGGTACGGACCTTCGGGTTATGTGCCAGTTAACAACAATTCCAACGAGTTGAATTCAGCATCCACATACAGCGCCGAAAGCGCGAGCGGTGGTCCGGGTCCTGGCGCTCCTAGTGCCGGCGGCCCTCCTTCATCGGCAGGCGGGCATTCGCAACAATCGCAGCAACCCCAATCGCAACAACCACCACCCCGCGACTATTACCCTCCTACGACGTCTTGGACGACCACGGCAGGCGAGCCTAGCAGCGCCACCGTTCACTCATACCACAGCAGCGGCGGCGCAGGCAGCGAAAGCAGTAGGCCGTACGCATACCCTGGGAAGAGCGAGCACCCGCCGCCCCAAGGCAGTTATGCTTCGACTCTAAACCACTATTCGTGGAGCCCGACGTAAGTGTCGGTGCTAAGAGAAAATGATCTGATGATGATCAAAAGATTTGACGAATACGTTTCTCATTCCTCACTGTCGTGAGCCAACCAGACGGCACACCGACATACGCCAAGAAGACGGGGGCGTGTAAGTGAGAGATAACGAGTAAGACGACGGCGGCTCTGGTTGCCATAAAAAAAGCGTGACTTCTACCACATGTCGCCTGTATAATATTTTTAATGATAGCTCATTTTCCGTTTCTTATTTGAGACCCGTGGAGGAAGAAAAAGGGCCAAAAGCTATTTTCGGAGTTCAGCACCCCTTTACGGAGGAATTGTAAAGGGTTCCTGGAGAGGGGGGAGGCGGGAGCGGGAGAGGTGGAGTAAAGAGAAAGACAATGGGTTGGATGGATGGGATAGTCTCCGTGTACTCATGTTAGGAAGAGGTTACCATTGCCGTTTTGGGTTGTGTATCTGGTTTTCTCATATCGATACTCATTCGTGTCTTTCGCTAATAGCGAGCGCGACCCTCTCCACCATTTTGTTTGGACGTACAGCATACACTCAAACACTCGCAGAGACGGGTCGGCATTGGAATCTCCGGAGTTGGTTTCCTCTTATCTCTTACTGTTGTCGTCGTTTTGAGGTGGAGATCATCTTTTGCTATTTCGATATCCCCCCCTCGTTCGTATCCTACGTACATACCATACAGTACCATCGTCGTTACCTGTTTACACACAATTTGGAGCAAGCCGGCAGGGCGTCCGCGTTTTTTTCCCAGCGATCGAGCTCATGTGATATCCATTGTAAGCGGGTTGTCGTTGTTCTTGCCATGAACGAAGCGACGGATAATGGCACGGTCCTCTAAATATCGATATTCATCCTAACTTCGGTAATAATCCTTGTTCCTTCTCTTTTTTCGGCGCGACGGCGTATTTGGGCCGAGAGAAGTGATTCCGGTAAAAACTCCCGAAAAGTCCATTGTTTTCGAGATGGCGATTACTGTCTCGACCTCAGCATACCTCCAGATGCAAAGAGAATGATGCTAGGCAAGAGATGGATGCCGTGTCCATGTTGGGCGATGAGACGGATGTTCGGATCCTTGGGCATCAGTCGTCTCATATGATCTTCGAGGCTACCTGGTCCTCAACCTGTACTTTAGTTAACTGTATCGTTAGATATGAGACTTATAGCCCTTATATATATCTGTATATAGGATCAAGAGGGGCCTGGCCCTAGTTTTCAGCTTGAAGCTTATAGCCGCCAAGGCCTGTGTTGTACCACACTAAGTGACCATTTGCCCAAGCTGAAGACTTTGGTTTTCCATTTTTGACGACGATCAGCTCTTAGTGTGGATAACCGGTTTTTACTAGTCGGTATGTAGTGGATAACTTTTGGGTCCGAGGAGAGTAAGCAAGTAATTAAGGCGGTGGCTTATTAGAAAAGGGACTTGTCGACAATTATTGCAAATTACTAAGTTGCCAATGGCTAATATTAAGAACAAGCTGGGAGCAAGTTTCGTGAGGTAACATTTCTTTGAAATTTGCACAACAAATTTGATGTAAGCTCTACTATGAACGACTCGACATAGAAAGAGAGATGAGCAAGTAAAGAAGAGAAAATGAGATGGATTCTAGTAGGGATTGCTTTATGGATATTCTAAGCCTGCCTGGTTGCACCTGGCACCTGACACCTGTGAGTTGCCGTTTCTTTTTCGACCATTACCATCCACCGCATGTACTTCCATTCTGGTGCGAAATTGGTAGGAAGATGATGTAGTACTACTACCTAGTACCAAAGGTAATGTAAGGTGATACAAAACTTTAAACTACGGCCGTTACTAAGTGCTACATAGCACGAAGCTGACCTGTGCAAACAGGATTACTTAGCGGTGCTCCAAGGTATTGGGAATTGGCCATTCAGGTGAAACGAGCTAATCGATTAGCGGATGGCGGCTGAAAATAGCCCCCACTATTACATGGAGTTTTAATGGTGGCCAATGCTTACAATTAAAGTCTTCCTCATCGACGGCGGACCATAAGGACAAATCCGTTAACCCGCCAATTTAATTAATGTATTAAAAGGTATACTATATAAATATAATATACGACGAAAATACATTATGTTTCGTAATTCAAAGATTAAAAAGCTTATAAATTATAATACGTATAAGTAAATACTTATTAAATAAATATAATAAATTTTTTTATTTTTATAAAAATATTAAAAAAATAAATATTTACTTAATAATATTATAATAATTATTAATTAAATTAAACTTTATTATATTTAAATATTTAATAAATAAATAAGTATATAATTATTATTTATCGTAATATTAAAAGTTATAATAATGAAAATAAGTTAATTTAATTATTTTATTATGTTATTTAAGTTTTTAATTATATTAAAATAAATAAAAATTTTTATATTCGAACGTAAAGAAAAAATAACTTAATATGTTATTAATTTAAACTTTAAATTATTATCGATTTAATAATTAATTAAATAATTTTTCGAAAATAAATAAATAAATAAAAAATATATTAAGTATAAAAATAAAAAGCTTTAATAATAATTTTTTAATAATAAAAAGGATAATTTTACGATTAACGAATAAAGTATTTATTAATCGTTTAATGTTTTTTTTAAGAAATAAAGCTTTATTTAATAAGGTTTTTTCGAACCCGGTTTTAATATTTCCTTTTATTAACGTAATTTTTATTTATTTTTACTTTTATTTTTTATAATTATACTTTTATTTTTAACTTAATTTTTTAATAATTATAATTTTTTATTTTATTTTATATTTATTTAAATAAATAATAAATAATCGTTTATATATTTTTAATTTTTTTATTATTCGTTTTACGTAAATAATGGTATAATTTCGATTTATTTCGGTTTAAAATATTTATATATTTTTATATATTATTAAAAACTTTTCGAATATTATTAAATATAATTTAAATACGTTTTCGGTAAAAAACACGGTTTTTTTCATTTTTATAATTTAAAATAATAATTAAAAAATTAAATCGCGGTATATTTTTAACGTTAATAAAAATTTATTAAGTAAAATTAATATTATTATTTATAATATTATTATCGTTATTATTATTATAATGTGAAAAAAACGCGTTTAAATTAAAATATATAAAGTTTAAAAAATAATTATCGTAATTAATTAAATTTTTTTTAAGTTTAAAATATACGAAATAATATATATAATTTTATGTTAAATTAAAGAACGTCGTTTTTAATTAATTACATTCGATTAATTTAAATTTATATAAAAAAAATTATAATTTAATATATTATTATATTTAAATAAGTTTTAATTTTTTCGTTTTATATTTAAATAATTTTATTTATTTATATATATTAAATTTATTTATAATTAAAAATATTAATATTTTATAAAAAATGTAATTAAATAATATAATTTACATTAAGTTTTATTAAAGTTTAATAATATTACGTAATAATATATTATTAAAAGGAATATTTTAAATATATTATATAAAATTATAAATAAATAAGTTTATAAAAATTAATATATTTATATAATTTTAACATTTAAAATATTAATTAATATAATATTAATATTATAAAAAATTTTTAAAAATAAAATACTTATTTATATAATATTTATTATTTTTTAAAATAATTAAAATAATATATTAAACTTATTTATTTATATAATGTTTTATTATTTATTAATAAGTTTTTTATAATATTTAAGTTTTAATAATTTCGATTATTTACGAATATTATATTTAAAAATCGATAATTTTTTATTAATTTAAGAATTTAAAACATTATGGTTTTTACGTAATTCGTTATTTCGATTTTTCTTTACGTTTATTAATTAAATAATTTTATTTTTTTAACGCGTTATTAAATTGCTTTTTTTATTCTTAAAATTAATAATATTAATAAAAAGTTAATTAATTTTTCGTTTTTTAACATTTACTTTAAGCTTTAACAAGTAGTTTTTATAAAGAAATATAAAAAGATTTTTAATAAATATATAATTATAATTATTATTATATTTTAAAATAATAATTATAATAATAAGATTTATATTAATAGTTAAATTTTAATTATTTAAAAAAATTTTATTTTAAATGGTTAAACTTTATTATAATTTTAATAAAATAATATTTTAAAAAAATTAAAATTAACGAATAACTTTATTAAGAATATTCCACGTTTCGTAAAAAACGAATAATATTTTTACATTAATAATTTATATTACACTTATAAAAATAAATAAATTTCTTTTATTAAACGTAACTGGTTTTTTTCGTATAAATTTTTTTAAACTTCCTTCACTTATATTATTTACTTTCGGTTTTAAAAAAAAACTAAGTTATTTTTATTATAAATTAAAAGTATAAAAATTTAGAAATTTATAATTTACAATAAATAATTTATTAATAAAATTAATTTATTAACGCATTATATAAATTATAAAACGTTTAATTAATATAAAATTTTTTTAAAAAACGTTAATAATAAATTAATAATAAAAATAATTTAATAAAATTTATAATTTTAAAACGTTTTAAAATAAAACCTTTTAAATTTTATTATTACATTATTTTAAAGATTAATAATAATAAGTTAAATTAATTTAAAATTTCCTTTCGTAACATTCGATTTTTTATCGGTAATAAAATAAAGTTAAAATTTACATATAAATATATTAATTAACGTCGTATAAATTAACTTTTCTTATCGTTTTCGAGGAATAAATTATTTAAATTTTCCACTCATTTTACAAATAAAAATGTAATAAAAATTAAAATGTGAAAAATATAAAAATTATAAAAATTTACTATAAATTACACGTATAAAAATGCATTAATCCGTTTTTTATATATAACTACGAAAACTTTAAAAATATTACTTTTAATATAAAGTTTTAATTTATTTTAAAAATTTTTATTTTTTTTAAATAAATTATTAATAATTATTTACTTATACCTGGTAATATTTATTAATAAAATAATAATATAA